AGGGAAATGTATGCTGGCATCAAGAAGGCTATTGGGCCAGTAAAAAGAAAGATTGCCCCTCTCAAATCAACCACGGGCGAAATCATAAAGGATCGGACAAGGCAGCTGGACCGTTGGGTTGGGTGGAGCACTACTCAGAGCTATATGCTACAAGCACCTTTGTATGTGAAGAGGCCTTAAATGCAATGGAGTGTCTGCCAACCATGGGTGAACTAGACACAGAACCCTCCGTCACAGAAATCGGTGAGGCAGTAGATGGGCTTCCTTCAGGGAAGGCCCCAGGAGAGGATGGTATCCCACATGAAATCCTAAAATGCTCCAAGGATGCTATTCTTCCTGAGCTACACAAGATCCTCTGTCAGTGTTGGCAAGAAAAATCGGTGCCACAGGATATGAGAGATGCCAACATTATAACTCTCTATAAAAATAAGGGAGATAGAAGCGACTGCAACAACTATTGTGGTATCTCTCTATTGAATTATGTGGGAAAAGTCTTTGTTCGTATTATCCTAAAGAGGTTGCAAATTCTAGCGGACAGAGTATACCCGGAATCACAGTGTGGGTTTAGGGCCAAAAGATCAACAGTTGATATGATCTTCTCCATCAGGCAGCTACAAGAGAAGTGCAGAGAGCAACAGATGCCACTGCTCATTGCTTTCATAGATCTCACTAAGGCCTTTAACTATGTCAGCAGAGATGGTCTATTCGGGATCCTTGAAAAATATGGATGCCCACCTATACTACTGAGCCTAATCAAATCCTTTCGTGAGAATATGAGGGGGACCATAATATATGAGGATTCATCATCTCGACCCTTCCAGATTCGAAATGAAGTAAAGCAAGGATGTGTTCTGGCTCCCACGTTGTTTGACATCTTTTTTACTGCATTATTGAGGCGTGCATTTGGGACAGCAACTGAGGGGATATACCTCCGTTCGAGATCAGATGGCAATCTTTTTAACGTGCAAGGACGAAGGTGCACACGAGATGCCTCAGGGTTTTTCTGTTTGCGGATGATGCAGCCATTATGGCACATTCAGAGAATGATCTGCAGATCCTGATGAATCGCTTTGCAAATGCTTGCAAAGAATTTGGGCTTACCATCAGTCTGAACAAAACACAAGTGATGGGACTGAATGTTGGAAATCCACCAAACATTAGTGTGCATGACCATCAGCTGCTGGCTGTAAATGAGTTTGAGTACCTAGGCTCACGTATCTCAAGCAATCATTCTCTGGATGCAGAACTAAACAAACGTATAGGAAAAGCCTCTGCTATGTTTGCAAATCTCACAAAGAGAGTCTGGTCAAACAAAAAGCTAACAGATAATACAAAAATAAGGGTTTATGAGTGTTGTGTCCTGAGCACATTACTGTACGGCTGCGAATCCTGGACTCTCTATGCTCCACAGGAAAAAAGACTGAATACCTTCCATATGCGCTGTCTGAGACGCATCCTTGGTATATCATGGCGAGACCTTGTCTCCAAACGAATGTGTGCTCACAAGAGCAAAAATACCATCAATGTATTGTATACTGAAGCAAAGACGTCTGCGCTGGCTGGGACATGTCTCCCGCATGGAGGATGGTCGTATTCCAAAAGATCTCCTATATGGTGATTTGGTAACTGGGAATAGACCTACAGGAAGGCCAAAGCTGCGCTAAAAAGATGTATGCAAACGTGACCTAATAGATACCAACATAGGCACAGAGACATGGGAAAAATCAGCTGCTGATCGACTACTATGGAGACAGAAAGTGAAAGACGGACTGTCACATTTTGAAAGAAACCGAACACAACGAGCTGTGGAGAGGAGACACCGGAGAGTAAAACTGCCTCACAACGAGGAAGTATCTGCTTTTGTGCGTATCCTGTGTGGCAAAGACTGCCATTCCCGCATCGGACTTTACAGTCACAGCAGATGCTGTTCCCAAAGCCGGCGGCACATCTCCATAGTTCCCCGGGACTGACGGATGCCATTAGAAAGAAGAGACAGTTATTATTTCGGTCACATTATAAGCAGACGAAAACTTAAATATGTGACGACTCAGTAGACATATGATAAAAGAGAGACAATGGAAAGCGACAAAAGAAGATTCTTGATACCGTTTTTTAAAGACAGGTGTCTGTTAAATTTAGTTTTTGAAGAAGAAAGAAAAAAATAAGTCCAGAAGCTTCCTTGGTAGCATCTCTTCTCGTTCAGGTATTCGCTCGGAGTTTTCTGCCCCTTTTTTTCACAGAATGTTTGGATCTCCTTCTTCAGCTGAATGATCTGATCTTGAAGTTGCGTTGTATCTGATATGGTAACGTCCGTGGATGCTACATGTTTCCGTCTTGCCTCTTGATAAAGGATATTCACTGCATTGTTGGAAAAACGAGAAGCCCATGTATCTGGCCCCAAGTGAGCCGGAACAGTGATCAGACTTTCTGTTTGCCTTAGCTTTTCGATACTTGCTGAATTTCTTCGCCAGTGGGAACTTTCTGAAGGGGTGAGGCTCCAAACAGTCACCACATAGTTGTCTACTGCTTTGCCTTTATGTAATAAACTTTCTTTTTTTTTTTTTTTTTTTTTTAATTGTTCTGACTTGTTTACTTTTAATTCAACTTTACGGGCGTCACAACAAGATAAAGGAGGCGGTAAGGACTGCAGGCAAATACATCTAGACTTGTAACTGTGACAACACTTACAGCATTCCGTACCGGATTAAGGGTGGGGGAGGGGAGGGGGTGTGGATGCTGATGTTATACACAGAGTGACTTGGTTCACTTGATAAGATTTAGAGAAAATGCACATCGTGAATGTTATGCAAAAGACAGTCTGTTTTTGCTGGGGAAATGCACAAGCTACGGCCACATCTTTGAACTGCGAATGACCTAATGATAAGACCAATGTGGTGTAGACCAGTGGTCGGCAAATCTTTGCTTGCGAGCCGCATGCGGCTCTTTAGCGTCCTGAATGCGGCTCGGCCAGTCGGCCACAAATCGGTTTCAACTTCCGACAAACATGGTTCTTGGCAGGTTCTTGAAAAGAAATTTGGCTCTTAAAATAACTTTCATCGTCCTGCTGCTGATTATTTTGCTCTGTCGACTAAAGAGCTTGTCGACCTACTGGTGTAGGCTATGGGAGCAAGCGAACAATGAAACCAGCAGTGTATCCTATACATCACAAGACTAATTCTGCAGGTACGCATAGGGCCTCAAGAACATTCATGGCTCTTGGGACAAGATTTGCGTTTGTTTAATTAGGATGCAAACTCACTGTTGGCTACTAAAAAAAAAGGCTACAGAGCAGGTGTAGTAATGACTTGAGAGCTGCCATGCCAGATCTTGATTCATTCATCCACAATTCTTTGTTTCAGTTGACTGCCATAATTTTTCATCCATTTATTTCAGTACCAAGTGACACCGTTTCTGTTTCTTTCTTCCAGGCGCTGTCTTTCGTTTTGCAGTTCAAATAAAAATCTTGTCGGAGTTTTATTTCGATTTTCCAACTGGAGCTGTTCTCAGGTCACCTCTGTTTCATTCAGCAACTTTTATATATTACATAAGAAATCTGTTTCATCGCTTCTCTGGCTATAACGTCTGACCAGACAGTTATCGAATTAATTTTCTGACACATAGTCGGCTCTATGACTAAGTTGATACGAACGCTCCATAATGCCGGGCTGCCGGGTTTCATCCAAGCTGCAGGCATGCGCCTTGCATTGGTTTCAACAGTTTTATCAGGGGGCCGACCGTCCAGTAAACAATGGCAAACTACTAGACGTAAATTTGCCTAGAGAAACCACATAACAGCCAGGGACTACTGGCGTGCGTTCTGCAGTAAAGGATGCGCAACTAACCTTATCTTACACGGCACTGGTTCGTAACTCTCTCTCTACTGAATGTTGGCGGGCTGCGCTAAAACTCCGGCGATTGTTCGGGTTGTCCCAACCTTGCCCAAACCTCAACACTAGACCTTAGTCCTATGTGGATTGTTCTTTGGGAATTAAACTCTACAGTCCGTGGATATTGAAAAGAATATATAGTTGAATACAATAATAAGAATGTCTCTCATGCTGCAAAATGTTGTATCATAGAAAATATTACAATTAGTCATCGTCAGCATCATCACTATCGTCATCAATTTGGTCGTCACCATCATCAACTGCCACGTTTGCTGTTAATTACTGTAGGGAGGAGGAATTTGCTGTCGTGTGCCCTGTGAGTAGTAAAGGTCAATGTCCTTCCTAGTTAATGTTTAATTTCTCTAATTTCATCAATCCATCTTCTCCCTGTGCGTTTTTCTGCTATGAAGTCGGACTTTTTTTTTTTTTTTAGCTTAGCGCCTTCATTTGAAACTGTTGTGGTTGTACTAACTGCTGCTCAGTAAATTCGGTGTAGGGTGTTGTTCTTATAGTATTTGCAGTGACTGCATTATAGAAAGATTATATATTCATAGACAGATAACAGATGACATTAGGAAGTAAACATAGATAGTAATAGAATTCTCTGTATTTTAAGAAAAGAACCCAGTCTCCGTGGGTTCATTTAATTTTTTTAATATACCTTTTTGGAACAGTCAGTAGAAGTTTCATGGTTAGCTGCTGCATTGAAGGACTGAGCAAGCAATTAAATGATCAGTGTACAGTGATGTCGATTGCGATAACATGACATAGCCTATTTCCAAGGTCCGACAGTTCAATATTAGGACGGATTTTATTATAGTTTGAACAAAAATAATCCTAAAAACAAAACGTGTCATCCCAACAGACACCATTCATCCATGATCTGGCACAATTGTATCGCGCCGTCCTACCTGTCTGAAGACCACAAGCAATCCGCCGTGCTGTTTAGCAAATGACAGTTGTACGGTTGCGTATGCAGCATTGAGACCAGAGAAAACATTATTTATGTTTCAAACTTGAAAAAGTGCTCCTGAGACAGCTGATTTCATTAGATAAATGTATGAGGATTCATGTTTATCCAATGTATACACACAAGAATATATCCATTTTCAGATTGTCGGGCAGCACGTGATCTTTGGTCACTCCCTGGACACCAGCACTCTGTACGATGGCCGTAGACTGACCATGTCTGAGGATAACATTACAGTGTCTGTCGTGCATGTTGAAGGAGGTGAGCAACAAACGTCAGAATTTAAAGGAGCATCATCTTGTGCAATATTGTGTAGACATACAAGCCAACCATCGAGGCGCACCGCACCTTTCTTATAGAAACAAAGGCTTACAGAACTAGAGTATATTGATTTGGGAAGTTATTTGTGTTATGTTTATCTTGATGAAACAGGATAGTAACAATAAATATAACGCTAACAACAATCACAGCATATTGTACCGCTAATATTATAACATAAATTGGTAATTGACTCCACGCATACCAGACTAGTCCATCAATACACTGTCGGATCCCATCTTAACTATCTCTCTCAGCATGTGGCGACCACTTATGTGTTTGATTACCCTTGCTCCTTAGCAAATCTTATAATCTTTATGTCTGGCAATAACTCTTTTGACCTGAAGTTCTTGTGCTTTTCAATTTTGTAGATTTACCGATGTCTCATGAATCATCTACTCGTCCTGCCTCCTCGAGAGTCTACGTTCTTTGCTTGTCGTTTACCTACCGTGGCCCTACCAGCAAGCCAATCCTCACGTTCATTTTCTCATACCTCAGTGTGTCCAGATACAAAAATTAAACTTTTTTCTATCAGACAAGATTTTCTCAGACTCGAGCAATCGTCGTCGAATCAATCTTCTCTTGATCTTCTTAAGCACGCTCAAGAGATCACTTGGAAAGCAAGCATGAAAACAAGTTAAGTGCCTCTAGCCACATGACTGTCATTATTTTAGTAGTTGGGGCAAAAGCACCGATATCCACTTTAAGATTTCTTTTTCGAACCAGAATCGTGAAAGATCATGAACTTCTTTGGACAACAGATCCATTGGTGTAAATAACTTGTGCAGCTTAGCATATCTACTACTAGAATCTAATGGAATAGGTCCTGACAATAGAAATGTTGGAATCGAAGAAAGGCAGAGCGACAGCATGATAGAAAAGGCTATGGGCAGTCTGGCATCATGGCATGAAGCAACGTCATGTGTCAGAAATGACTGACTATACACAAGATAACGGTTTAGAAATAGGTAACGTGGCGATATCACTACGCCTTACCACTTCACTAACAATCAAGTCTTATGATTATTTGCGGCCATTCCTTTCTGGATCTAACAATAGTTAAATCTACTGAGAACACTTTGCTTTGCTGATATACCGGCACAAATTCCGAACAGTTCCAAAAACATGAAGACTGTAACCTGCGAGGTTCGCACTCAAAGACACAAGTACGACTCAAGTATGCTCTGCTCGCAATACAAAGTCTGAAGTTTCGCAGTCTTCACAACTGGACGGAATAACAATACACCGTTGCACTTTGTCCACACGGTTGCCATGGGCATCTCCAGTCTGAACTCGCCAAATCCATCTTTCGTGATAGCAAGTTTCGGTAAGGCATGTTATGATGGGAGCGGCCTTCTGTAAAGGACGTGCTGCGTGTGCTGATTAACTATACAACTGGAAATTAAATGGATCGAACTGGAGAAAAGCTGTAACAGTTTGTGAAGCGTCATGATACTAAATATTTTATGAATGGGTCACTGTTTGTAGATAGAGACTAGGACAGGAAAATGATAAAAATGTATTTTGTAAGCTGAGCAAGATCGGAACAGGCATGCTTCATGGAGAGTGTCATGCTTCGCTGCGGAGGACACGGGTGAGGAGAATTCTCTGGATTTTTTCACTAGTGCACGCCGCTGTGTTAGACAATGAACACGCTGACAGACTGGCTGATCTGCACAATTTGGTGGAATACTGATACATGATAAGGCAGACGTGGTTAGTGCCTTGTGGGAGAGCGTGTACAGTGTACAGTACTGGTGAGATTGATGCAGGTGAAAGTGTCTAGAGGTTCTGACACACACACATATATACACAAACACACACACACACACATATATATATATATATATATATATATATATATATATATATATATATATATATATATATATACATATTCACATTCACTCACAAACACACATAAGAAGTGAGAGATATTGGGTAAATGGGAAAGAGAAAGAAGATAATGTGTCACGTGTTCTGTATTGTCCTTACAGAGATTTATTTGGAGACCACAGACAAGAAAATCAGGTCCAAGATCCACGTTGCAGACATCGGGGTCACCAACGGGGTAGTTCATCTGCTTGACAACTTACTCAGCGTCAACTTCACAATTTGGGAGGCCATGAGTGACATTCCTGCACTCAAGTACGTTCTGTCAAATGATGACCAATGTTACATAACATACGTTGTTGGCTGTGTGTTATGCTCCGTTGTTACATAACTTGACCGTGCCTCGTATTGTAGCTCCACCCGTCGGGGAAAAAGGGGGGGGGGGGTCGTGAGTGTTGCTGAGCATAGAAAAAACATATGGAAAGCCACAAAAAATGCCTTTGTGTTTCAGTCCATTTCAACTTCAAACCAATAACTTCAACTAACGTCTGCTCGCATTGCATCATCATACAAAGTTTTAATAATATGCACTCTGCGGGAAAACGCCAAATTATCCCGATAGAGCTTACCAGGCTGTAAGAGTCGCAGGTGAAAGAAAATCACATGTGATAGCTCGAAAAGTACAGTAAACTTGTGGCCGGTCTGAGGAGAGACGAAGCGTACACAGTAACAATCTTCGCAGTCGATGTAGGCGCGAGAGGACTTATCTCCACTTCCACATACAATGCGCTAAAGCAGCTGGTCCTGCAAGGAAACTGAGCGTAAGCAGACACTAAAACAACTGGGCGAAGCGCTGAAAAGGCTTCAAGCTGGCTTTGGACACAACGGAACTTCTTGGGGGATGGGCCTCCGTAGACGTCTGAACCCTAGTGGAAAAGAACTTTTCATTCTTATAAAGCCAAAGTGTCCGATAAATGTGTTCCCTTGTCTCTCTGCCAAATGTCAGAGTCTGTGACGTTACGGCCCACTCCCTTGGAAAGTACAACACTTTTAGTGTGACGTCCCGGGTCGTGGGTTCTCTGGATTTGGGTTTAAATGATTTATATGTTGAGTAGGGATTTTCCTCTCAACACATCCCCTCCACCAGATTAACTGAACTATTATCTGGGCTATGTTGCTCTCAGACAAAGTCCTGGATATCCAAGAAAACAGCCATATTGGCTCGTTATTTATATTAACTTTAGCTGAACTTGGTATCCACAAGAGAAGGAAATGGGTTTTAGATGTCTATATATTATTATGTTGAATGATTTACTAGACAGGGCAGTTGACCCAATCCGTCGACCTTCTCTTGGTACAGAATTATTATTATTTAATGAGCTCCCACCCAATGCTATTCTATCTTAACAGTTTAATTAAACATGTAAGAGCAGACACACTTGGAATTATAAAAACTGCTGCAGGATAAGACCATATAATTGATTTATTAACCTAGCAATAATTTTGATTATTTATATTTTTAGTCAATAGTGATGGTATGATGGTAATGGGATACTTCAGCTCGATACCTGATCCCCTAAGATAAGAGTAAATGATAATGGTGGTGTTTAGTTACATAAATACATTTTACATAACTTTAGAAAGTGGAACCTCTGAGAGTCCTCGTGTTGAGTCCCTTCTTAGCTGTTCCAATCTTTCCGCCCAGTTCTCCTGGTCCTTCCACCTGGTTCCCTGGTTCCCACCTGTTTCCCAGCTGGCCGAGTTCTAACACAATGTAGTCTCGTGACCGTGATGACCCTCTATTTCTGTTTTTAGAAAAGACTGATCCTCACCCACATGGGAGCTGGAAACTTCCAGCAATCGCTAAACTAGAATCAAACCATTAGAATTACCTCTAAGGTCGACCTGTTTGTTGCCTGTCGCAGCGATTATGACAAATTCCAGGGCTTGTCTTATTAATACCCCTATCTGTCTGCAAGGTTAAACTCCACCCTCTACTCGGTTCTACCCAACCCTAAAGGAGATGACTTAAGCCCCGCCTCTGAGGTACGTAGCAGATCAACCTAGCTATCAATGGGCCTGTCACTCACAGTGAACGGCCTACAGTACGACCTTGACCAAGATTAAACATTCCTAATTGACAAACATCTGTTCTCTTGAGAATTTCACTATCATGTGTGAAAACTTCAGATGCTGGACGCCGGCCTGTCTAGAAATGTCTACCGGACCACTTAATTACCCTGATCTATCCTGTTCAAAAGGAGCCCCTCAGTCTGTGTTATGTAACTTTTTATGACACTACGGTCGGATTCAGGGGAGCTAATCTTCAGGTGTGATACGAAGTTATCTCCCCCTTTACTTGCCTCTACAGACTGGGCAGGAGATAATTATATGACACGGGCAGGTGAAATAGCTACAGTAGTATTAGGTAACATTACATAAAGCAAGGTTGCTTTGTCTGGCTAAGACGGGAAACACAGTTTAAACAATTCTCAAATCCCTTATAGTGGTTTTAGAACTATTTTAGGCTCAGTGTCTATTGCTTATAATTCTTTGTCCTTCTCTGAACATAAGAAATTATCAAACACAATATAACTTCTGAGACCACTGAGGTCATTTCGTCACATAGGCCCACGGTTGATTTTGGTCGTAGCTCGCTATGGCCAATGTTTAGACACTCAGTGATTTCCAAGAAGTTTATTTCACTTCTCAGCTCCTTTCTGTCCCAATGTTTCCTTCGCCAATATTCCTTGTTGAATCTAGATGTCCTGCATCGTTGTACAGTCACCATATGTCCATTCTTCCAGGTTAAGTCCTTAGTCCTAGAATCATGTAGGCATTCTAAGCCGAAGCTCAGTAATGTCCTTTTATCTGGAGGTTCCTTCTTTCTCCACAATCGGGGAACTCTATTTTTAATCAACCCGTCTTCTCCGCGGTGCTGATATAAGTTTGCTGTCACTCGGCTCCTCCCAATCGGTGAAGGGAGCGCCTGAAGTGATTTCCTGAACGGATGAGTCACAGTCAGTTGGGTCACCGCTTTTTTCCGCCGTCGTGCACCAATCCTGCAGAAATCTTTCAATCTCCTCTTTATATGAGGGGTATTGTCGTACATCATTATCCCAGGATGTACCCAGAACCTGCCACTGCCTTTTCCTAGGTAGCGCAATAGATCTGTAATTTCTTGCCGCCTTCTCTCCTTACCCAGACAGCCGCCTAGTCGGTCACATTCTTCGAAGATTGTGTCACAGTTGGAGTCACTGCGTGCAAGTGTCTGGCCAGTGTATAAACTGATCAGCTCATTCAAACACTTTTGGGTCTTCAAAAGTGATAAGGTGGCATTACTTCTTTTTAAAGTCTCCACCCACTGTTCCACAAAAGTTGCTTCTTCTCTAGTGTTGGCAGACATCCTGGGTTGTCCAGTGTCGCTATCCACATTAGAGTTTACAGGAATATCCTATACTTTCAGAGTTCCCTCTTGTAGGCACTCTGAGATATCGGGAGGTTTCTCCTCTCGAGTATTCACTTTCTTCCTGGTCGGGCTTTCTGATGCCAAGTCCAGTGAAGATAAATGAAGTGGCGTGTTACTGCCTGTGTCATCAACCTCTTGAGGGTTGGCGTCATAACTGAGATTAACTCTCTCTTCATGTGCAGCCGCACTGAAGAGGATAAGAGAAGCAGGTGCCCTGTCATTCTCTGTCTCAGCCTGAATTTCTTCTTCTTGTTCAACCGAACAGAAGGATATATGAGAGTCGCATAAGGTCTTGCCCTCGCTCTCACTAGTGGCTGGTGTGCCAGTCAAACCGCTGGGTCTATAGTCAAGGCAGTCCTCATTCTTGTGACTACTGTCACCTGTGCTTGGGGTTCTCGTTTTCCTACTACTATTCCTTTTCGGAATGTGCGGATCCCCTTCGTCTTTCTTTGAAAAACTTGAAGGGTTGAAGAAATCGGGTGTGGCTTCCCTGATTCTGCTGTCACGCTCGTGACTGTTTACGGTACCCACGGCACTCTTTTTCCCTCCACGATTCAGTTTCTGGTCGGGAGGAATTTTCTCATTTTGCTCATCTGAGCTAATGAAAATAAGGGGTCCCAGCATTGTAGGTCTGGTCCCTTTTGAAGATTTCTTTTTCTTGTCCCATCTTTTCCTGGTTGGCTTAAGACTGAAAACTAAGGGTCCCGGCACTGTAGCTACGGTCCTGTTAGAAAAGTTCTTCTGTTTCCCTAGTATCCCTTTTGGGTTAGTAGGTTTGAGGTACTGTCTGTCTTTTTCAAGGTGGTTTTCATCCTTATCCCTAGTTTCTAAACTTTTGGGAGTAGGGGTGCGCACATCTAAATTGGGAGGTTGAACCTCTACAATCTGTGCCTTAGAGTCAGTCTGAGGTGTGCTTTCCTCGACTGCACTCATAGTATCATCACCATTTTCTGCTTGCTGTTCAGGCCGCCTTTCTCTGTCATATTCTTGTTGAGTAGACTGTCGCCTTCTCTCGTCTTCTTCGTCGAACTGCTTCAGTTCTCTGAGTAGTTCTGCTCTTATCAGCTGATACTCTCTCTCGCTGTCTATCTCACGCTGGTAGCTTTCTTCATCTTCTTCTTTCATACGTTGCAACTCCCTCTCGTGCTCTTCTCTTAGAAGTTGTTGCTGCCTCTTACTTTCCTCTCTCTCCAGCTGGCGCTTTCTGTTAAGTTCGCTTATACGCTGTATCTCACCCTCTTCTTCTATCTCATGCTGACGCTTCTCCTCTGCAGCAACCCAGGCAATCCTAACATCCCACTGAACCATACGGTAGTTAACAAAGGTCTCTAACTGTGCCCCTACCATGCCGTCTGCTACCCCACATTTTATGCATATTTCTCGGTACTCGGTACGTATATCCATTCTATCTTATTAGATCTATTAAGAGAGAAATATTATAAGGTACCGAATCAGAGTAAGCGAGATAAGTCAGAGCAAGGTACAGTAAACTGGACAACAGAGTAGACTACTACCGCAGCACAGCGATGTGAATGAAACAGAGCAGCCTACCAGACTGACAGCTTATAGAATGTTATAGCAGCACAAAATTACGCCTGTAAATGATGTGAAGTAATATTACATTCAGTCACTAAGCATAAATATCAATGATATGATGTCAACATTCAATGTTCTACAATCTATATCAAGTGATGAAACATGCAAGCAGATATAATCACAATCAACTCTATCTAAAATTTACTGAATAAACAATGATCAATGGTTATGACGTGATCAATGATAGACAGTTAAATGATACCATCCATTTATTTATTTTTAAAAAGTTATTTTATACTTTAATAATTTCTCTCCATGTATAAATTACTAATTTTAATTTAGACTATATACTGGCAGAAGAGTTAAAGTTAAATTTAATAAATTTACTATAATTAGTCTAGGAGTGATTAACCAAGTCCATTACCGGCGAGCTCTCCCAGTGTGACGTGACGCGTGGCATTTAATGTTTTATTTTGTTGAAGAGGGATTTTCCTCTCAACGCATCCCCTCCACCAGATTAACTGAACTATTATCTGGGCTATGTTGCTCTCAGACAAAGTCCTGGATATCCAAGAAAACAGCCATATTGGCTCGTTATTTATATTAACTTTAGCTGAACTTGGTATCCACAAGAGAAGGAAATGGGTTTTAGATGTCTATATATTATTATGTTGAATGATTTACTAGACAGGGCAGTTGACCCAATCCGTCGACCTTCATTTGGTACAGAATTATTATTATTTAATGAGCTCCCACCCAATGCTATTCTATCTTAACAGTTTAATTAAACATGTAAGAGCAGACACACTTGGAATTATAAAAACTGATGCAGGATAAGACCATATAATTGATTTATTAACCTAGCAATAATTTTGATTATTTATATTTTTAGTCAATAGTGATGGTATGATGGTAATGGGATACTTCAGCTCGATACCTGATCCCCTAAGATAAGAGTAAATGATAATGGTGGTGTTTAGTTACATAAATACATTTTACATAACTTTAGAAAGTGGAACCTCTGAGAGTCCTCGTGTTGAGTCCCTTCTTAGCTGTTCCAATCTTTCCGCCCAGTTCTCCTGGTCCTTCCACCTGGTTCCCTGGTTCCCACCTGTTTCCCAGCTGGCCGAGTTCTAACACAATGTAGTCTCGTGACCGTGATGACCCTCTATTTCTGTTTTTAGAAAAGACTGATCCTCACCCACATGGGAGCTGGAAACTTCCAGCAATCGCTAAACTAGAATCAAACCATTAGAATTACCTCTAAGGTCGACCTGTTTGTTGCCTGTCGCAGCGATTATGACAGAAATTCCAGGGCTTGTCTTATTAATACCCCTATCTGTCTGCAAGGTTAAACTCCACCCTCTACTCGGTTCTACCCAACCCTAAAGGAGATGACTTAAGCCCCGCCTCTGAGGTACGTAGCAGATCAATCTAGCTATCAATGGGCCTGTCACTCACAGTGAACGGCCTACAGTACGACCTTGACCAAGATTAAACATTCCTAATTGACAAACATCTGTTCTCTTGAGAATTTCACTATCATGTGTGAAAACTTCAGATGCTGGACGCCGGCCTGTCTAGAAATGTCTACCGGACCACTTATTCCCCTGATCTATCCTGTTCAAAAGGAGCCCCTCAGTCTGTGTTATGTAACTTTTTATGACACTACGATCGGATTCAGGGGAGCTAATCTTCAGGTGTGATACGAAGTTATCTCCCTCTTTACTTGCCTCTACAGACTGGGCAGGAGATAATTATATGACACGGGCAGGTGAAATAGCTACAGTAGTATTAGGTAACATTACATAAAGCAAGGTTGCTTTGTCTGGCTAAGACGGGAAACACAGTTTAAACAATTCTCAAATCCCTTATAGTGGTTTTAGAACTATTTTAGGCTCAGTGTCTATTGCTTATAATTCTTTGTCCTTCTCTGAACATAAGAAATTATCAAACACAATATAACTTCTGAGACCACTGAGGTCATTTCGTCACAGAGTCTAACACCTGTTCAATGAACTAACCGTAGGCTTGTCACTCTGGACGTGAAGGTAGTCTGCTAATTTGCTACCGCAGCGATAATATAAAACAGTCTCACAATACCTGTTGCAAACTCACCATATCGTCTTTTTCCTGTCCGACTGTCCGATAAAGCGCAGCATGGCAAGATTTTGGCCTGGAGTCATGACCCAGGTTGGCCCACATTCCGAGATTTTATAGGAAGTAATGGGCCGAAAAAAAGTAAAGGATCCTTTCCACGCCTTCATGCATGCTGGGTATAAAGGACGAGCTACATTTTATTAACGAATCGGCATTTGAAGGACTTCACCTGGTACTGGAAGTTAAAAATGTCTTATATCTTGGGCAAGTAATAACATGTGACGGCAGAAGTGAAACAGAAGTCAAGAAAAGAATAGGGATAACCAAAAACATTTTCAACAACATGCAAAAGTTACTGACATCAAGAGAAATAAGTAATACAGTAAAAATGAGAATTGTCACATGTTATGTATTTTCAACCTTACTGTATGGCACAGAGACAGGGACAATGAACAAACAACTGTAAAATCGTATCAATTCTTTGGAGATGTGGATATACAGAAGATTAGGTCGTATTTCATGGAAACAAAAGCTATCAAATACAGAGGTACTGAGGAAATTGGGAATGAAAAGAGAGTTGCTAGGTGAAATAAAAAAGAGACAAGTGAAATATTTTGGTCACATTAAAAGACATAACAGTATTGTAAAGATCATCCTAGAGGGAAAGGTTCAAGGTAGGCGAGCAAAAGGCAGACAGCGTTACAAGTGGGAGGATACATCAAGAGATGGACGAATAGCAGTATGAGTGAGTGTACATCAAGGGCAAGAGACAGGGCTTGCTGGAGATCCATTGCAGCCAACCTTCATTGTGGAGATGGCACCTGATTGATTGATTGACATGGTACCCATGCAAGGTTGAGTCGACCTGCGAGCAAACGACATTTTTTTTAAAACAGTCCGGCTTCGTCAGGACCGGAACACACGACCTTCCGATCAGCAGGCTAGCGTCTAGCCACCACACAACGGCGGCTCCCCATTAGGGCTGAGTATTGTAGATATTGATAAGTCAGAATACTCGGATTGCACTCGGGAAAAAAAAGAAGCTGAGACTTGTGTTAGCATTATCTGTCGTGGGGAACCGGAGTGGTGCATATGTTGGGTTCAAATTGACATCGAGGTGAGTTGTTTGTTTCTCAGACCTGACCCTGGCTCTAGTGTGGAGGAAGTCTAAACATGAGTACTAGGCAATGTCCCTGGAAGTTAAAAGGGCCGGCGTGATGCTGACTATGTCCCTCTTCAAGTGCATATTGTCTATACAAAGATAGCTTGAGGCATGGCAATTTTTGCTGGCGGTAGACAGCTGATAGCTAGGGATCTCTGTGAATACTGTCATCGTGAATTGAACGAGGCAGTTCTTGAAATAAACATATGGTTTTCTGTAAACTATAACCGAAGGGCTTCTGCCACGCCTTTGCGGCTTTTGGCACATAGGGCTGGGCATATATATTTTATAGATCAATGGACACACTAGGAAAATGGGGCCAACATTTACACTGGCGCCTTTATTTCCAAGCCATTATCGAGCACCCATTTTAGGCTGGGTCGACCTGGGAGCCAAGGTCGATGTATGAATAACAATCCACGTGGACTGACGTAGAAAACAGTGAGCTTCAGGCAGGTATACGAGCGTCTAGGCACAACGCTACCACCGCCGTCACGACCTTTTTCAGACCCCATGGAAAATCAGTGACACTAGGCCTTGTTTGATGATCAATCGGGGATGTTAGCAGAGCAGCTGGTGTGTTTTTCATAAATAACTTATCCATTAACATAAGCCACCCCGTCCTTTTTTCTGCCTCCTCATTGATCCATTTATTATCTATTACTCGTCTCAGTTACTTGAGAGAGAGAGAGAGAGAGAGAGAGAGAGAGAGAGAGAGAGAGAGAAAGAGATAGAGAGAGAGAGAGAGAGAGAGAGAGAGAGAGAGAGAGAGAGAGAGAGAGAAAACAGTGCCGTGGTTTAAGAAGGAAGCAACAGAGGAAGAGTCGATGGAATCAGTCAGAGACTTATAATATTATAGAATGCACCTTGTTTTACTTACATGCAATGTTTAGACATTGGAAAAAGCCTCTCTTATGACAGTTCCATTGCAAATCTTTGGAATTATGGGACAGATGTCTTGTTACAGTCAAGTCTGTGTCTAAAAAGTTTTTTTAATAGTTGTACGCAAGAAACTTATAGTTCTTGAAATTTTTTTGTTTTTTTGTTTTTGTTTTTCAAGAGGCATTTATTTCTTTGCTGCACTTTCAGGCGTATTTATGACGTTATCGGTACAAGCACAGGAGACTTGAAGCAAACTTTGAATAAGGAATCGGACATCTTAACAGCGTTTCTGCCTTCAAACACAGTGTTTGATGAGCATTACGACATCATTACCTCCATGATGACACATGATCCTGATGCCTTCCTCAAGGTAGGCGGTGAACTGACAGTCTATGACGGTTCAGTTTCTGTGATTGTAACTTTATTTTTCACACAGTGTCATTGGGTCAGCCTGGAGAGCGCATTGGCAAGAATACTCACATGGGGTGAGATCTGGCGAATGACCCCGTTGCGACTGAGCTTTATTGTTCGTTCGGCGTACGATGTATTACCGTCCGGTGTTAACATGGTTAAGTGGTCTGCGACTAACGATCCGACTTGCCCGTTGTGTAAAGCGAAGCAGACGCTTGAACACGTCCTGTCCGCGTGCAGGAAAGCCCTAGGTCAAGGCCGATATACCTGGAGACACAACAAGGTGCTAAAAGAGTTAGCAGCCGTTGTTGACCAGGCTAGAATGAGGGCTAACGCTAGAGCCAGTTCTACCATCGTCCCCATTCGTTTCCTCAAGGCTGGGCAGATTCAAAAAGGTAAGGTCAACCGAGACGCATTCGCTCCATCTGTGCTAGACTCTGCGAGGGACTGATTACTGGCCGTTGATCTGCCGGACCTTGAAAGGTATCCCGAGTTAATCCGGAAGACCGGCGGCCTGCGACCTGACATAGTTTTCCACTCTGCGGAGAAACGGCAGCTCATCCTGATTGAGCTGACCGTCCCGTATGAGTCGCGTTTGGACGAAAATCACACGTACAAGCTCGAGAAATACGGTGATTTAGCAGCCGGTCTGAGGAGAGACGAGGCGTACACGTAAGGTGTCTTTGCCGTCGAAGTGGGAGCGAGAGGTCTCGTCTCCACTTCATTGTACAATGTGATTAAAGAACTAGGATTGCGCGGTAATGAACGGAAACGTTATAGTGGTAAAGGGTTTCTCACCCTTTGAAAGTCCATCGTGTCCGAATTGTCTGCCAGTGATCCTCTGCCACCTGCTAACAAAAGTACAACACGTGTCCGGTAAACCAATCGTAAGCTTGTCGCTCGGTCGTCCAGGTATGCTGACTGTTCTAATTAAGCTACCGCGGCGATTTCTTATCTCACAGTACCTCATGCAAATCACCAAGTCGTTTTGTCCCTATCCGAAAGAAAAACACCATCCGGTAATTTCGTGCAGCAGGGTACCAACCCTGAGCTTCAAGAACTCAGGTTGGCCCACCTCTGAAAACGTCTAGGAGATCGTGGGCCGAAAAGTTTGTCGACGAGGATAACTTCTACTGATGACTGGTAGATCCCTGCTGTACTTGCTCCCTGTGAGTTTATTCCTGCCCATATGGAGTCACGGATAAAGACAGCATACAGAGAACACTGTGAATGCCAAAGTAAGATCATGACAACAACAAAGGTCCTCGTATATGCTGTGGTGGAAACCATCGACATATCACACGATAGAACATACTACACAACTGACTTCAACAGAGAAACCAAAACAGCAGATACACTATGAAAATGAAACAGATGATAGCAACCAACGGCAGGTACTCTATAAGCCGGCCACATCACCAAATAACCAATCAGCACTAAGACGACCGTTCTACAAATAACATGCAGACAACCTGGCTCGACAGTCATGGGAGGCTAGAACAACCAATACTAAGAAACACACAATGAAATAACAACATGAACATGCGCCAAAATGATAACTGATGCTATCTAGGGAAGGCTGGCTCCCTACATAGCGGCTGAACTTGGCCAATTTAAATCGATGAGGACAACACATCATTCCTGACGTACTCCTCTGTATATCTTTGTCTCTGAGGGTTAGAGAAAGAATTCTTGCTTGCTACATACATCCAGTTTTAACATATGGCTGTGATTCCTGTACAGTCGGTTGGCAGGCTAAATAATTTCTTGAGGCCTCAGAGATGTGGTTTTCCAGAAAAGTGCTTAAAAATGCATTGGACAGCCAAAGAGAGCAACCAGGAGGTTTTGAAAGAGGCGGGAGCCCGAAGACAACTGATCACAGACATCAGAAGGAGACAGTCATCTTTTTTCGGCCATGTTATGAAAAGAGGGAAAATGGAACATGTTATGACTAGAGAAAAAATCTTTGGAAGGTGGGATAGAGGAAGACACCGAGAGACGATTCTTTACAGTCTTGTTGCATGGCATGGAGGTGTGTCAGCACACGAGTTGATACATGCTGCAGGAGATCGCAGATTGTGGAGGGACATAATTGCCCACGTTAATCGGCAAAGCACCTGACGATGATGATGATGATTCTTTACACTTAACCGCTTTTAAAATGTTGTGCAGTGTGAACAGATATATATTTTCAAATCATTTGGAACGGAACCAGTGTTATAAATAAAATATCACTGCACATTTTAGTGATGGTGTTAATTCAAAAGCTGGTTAATGATTGTATCATTTCCATTGTTATTTTGTCAGGACCTGTGACGCGTGCGAAAGTTCGCTGGAGGTGTACTAGATAGCAAGATGCCTCGCACACTTGTCAAGAGTCTAGTGGGTCACTTAATGATTTCAGTCTTACCGGTCACAACTCCCGATCAACAATAAAATAGAACTCCGAACACATGTCCACTGTCAAAGTACACACTATATTCGGATATCATAAAAACGGATTTCATTACGAGTCACGCCTAATACAGTAATACATGTATTCCTTTGCCTACACATGTATACATACAGGACGTTGCTCCGAAGGACTTCTCCTGTCACACTATGCCCAGTGGTTGTTACGAGCCATCAGTACCCGATCGCACAAATACATTTTCGTTATTAACGTGCCTGTCATTCGAACGACTCTTATATGTTGAAACCACTGCCGCTAGAGACTATCCTGGCCGATGCACATCTTTGTGAAAACTATCCAGACCTCTCGTCTGCGGCCTGTCACGTTACCTTGGAGACCCCTCACGCTGGAAACCTATTATTGCGACAGTACACATCAGCAACAAGAACGCTGTATTGCGTTATCCAGCGTGACACATAGTGCACAGCTCTAGCCTGGCAACACCCAGACTAGAACCTTCATTTACACGTCCTTCCTCTCCAAAGAGAGCCAACGGTCTCTCTCTCTCTCTCTCTCTCTCTCTCTCTCTCTCTCTCTCTCTCTCTCTCTCTCTCTCTCTAATAAAATCCCGTTTAATTCTGAACTGGACCTCACCAAGTTTTACGTTCATTAAGGAACTTCTCTTTCATATGCCCATATATTGCACACAACAGCTTTATTCCCCCCTTTCTCCAGCAAACAGACACAATCTGCTTCTGTTTGCTTGAGACAGGACTGCCATGCTGAACATATGGTAATATGCAATTTATAATTTACATAACATGCCCAATATGAACAATATATTTCACACATAATTTTAAACATATCAAGTACACAATCATCCCTCAAGTCAAATAAATCAGCCAAACTTTATCACACAGCTGTCCTTGATAGGTAATCTAAGATAATGTTTTTCTCCCCTCGGATATAGTGGACAGTGAAGTCTTACGGCTGCAGCATCAGCGCCCATCTAAGCACCCTGGAATTCTTCACTGCTCCCGAACACAATGCCTGCAATGAATGGTTCCCGTACAAAAACTTGTTGACCCCAGACATTATTGCCAGGCACTCTCATTCCATCAGACTGTAGAGTGTCTCCGCTGGGGACAGTTTCCTACTGGCATACAGGACTTGATGCCAGGTACCTCGGAACTCCTGTACCAGGACACTGGCCACTCCCACATCAGACGGCATCACATGAAATACTAAAGAGTACATTTAAATTAGGCAAACGCAACAATGGTAAATGATTGAATGCACTTTTTAATCGTCTTAAGGACATTGTTCATTCCACCATATCTTGTCTGTCATCACTTTCTTAGTCAGATCAGATAACACAGACGTGATTTTGGAATGGGAAATGAATTTAGCGTAGAAATTACTTAAACCCAGCAATGCACGAACTTGCTTTTTGGTCTTAGAGGCAGGCTAGTTCAGAAACTTGGGAACATTGGTTTGAACTGGTTTTCGTACCCCTCTGCCTATAATATGAAACAGGAACGTCACTTCCTCTACTGCAACCTCTACCTTCGTTAGTCTGACTGACAATCCAAATGACCAGATGAGATCCAGCAATCTTCTCAACCCTTGTATATGTTATTCGATGTCTTACATGAAGCAGGAGAATGCCATCTAAAAATGGATTATTATAGAAAAACACACTAGTGAGGAAAATCCAAAAATGGTGAAACTATGGGGGTGATTGCAGTCAAGCTAATACAATGAATTCCAAAGAAATTTGACTAAAATGCTAAACAACATGGGAAAGAGGTAAACGTGCACAAAACAACACAACGTAACGTTTTGGACGGGCAGCCTTTTTCAAACATAAGTGAAATACACAAACGAGGAATGGAGAGTATGTAGATCTCTAACGGGTAACGTGAGCGAAGTTTTTAAAAAATGTGATGCGGAATAAATGAAAAAAAATAAAATAAACGATGGCTAAAAAAAAAATAGTCACAATACTGGGAATAAAAGAGATGCAAGTGTTAATGATACATAAATGATACTGATAAGAAATAGAATAAAGTAATTATATGAAATAAAATAAAATAATTAACATTTAAAATGTGATAAGATTAGAACTATTTAGATGAAGGTATGTTGGATATTGATACCACTTGGACTATGAACACCAAGGCTGTGGATAAGGCGATTTTCCAAAGAGAGGCGGTTAGTATGATCGCCAGAGCAAGATTTTAATGCTGTGACAGATATGTCATCTTTACCGCTGTGGTCAGGGCTATTAAAATGAAAAGGGATTGGTTTGAGTGTCTTCTTGTCGATATCGGAGAGGTGTTCCCGGAAACGATCAGCTAGCTTCCTGCCAGTCTCCCCAATGTATGCCTTGCTGCATCGTTTGCAGATAATTGCATAAATTACGTTGCGGGATTCGCAAGTAAAAGATTCCCTAATTTGAAAAGAACCATTAGGGAAACTGACCGAAGAAGTCTGGACAACGAAAGGACATGTCTTGCAGGTGCTGCGTGAGCACTGAGTAGTCCCAAGAGGAAGTGCTGTGTGGATCGGTGGGAGTCGGCTTCGGACAAGTATGTCTTTGAGGTTGCGGTCTCGTCTGTAAACTAATCTA